TAGAGTTCTGCATGGCAGAGCTGGGGCAGCCAAGGGGAGCTGGACAGGTCTAAAGGGCAGGTTAGCCACCTCTGCTTCATGACTCGAACCAGATGGGGATTCTGCTCCTGGGAACGAGGTAATAGAAAAGGAGAAGTGGACGGACAGAAAGACTTTCAAGCCAGCTCCTCATGCCCATCCTCCCCTCTGTTGCCGCAGCTCCCCCCGAGTCCAGCACTCCCTTGGCAGCTGGACTTTCTGCTGCAGGAACCTCCCTCGTGGCACTGACATCAGTTCTCCTCTGGCTTCTGAAATACTTTCGGAAGAAAGGTGAGGGAGCTTATGAACGTGCTCCAAATATGTTTTCTCATTGATGAGTTATGGTTTCTCTTATAAATTTAGACAGTTACTAGAATCTAGTAATTGCAGAAACACTAATRTACTGCTTTATAATTAAGCAAAAGTCTTAGGAAGAGTTCATATAGCAACATGAAATTTGAAGTATTTTAGGAAATATAAATGTTAGCTGTGTTAATTAACATTGCTCAACTCCAGGAGGTGCTACTTGCTTTGAATTCTGTGTTGTCTCTGGAGTTGTACAATGGGACTGATATGATTTGTGCTCCTGGGAAGTTGGATAAATGCTTCCTTAAAAAAYTATTTGGAATACAGTCTTAATTCGGAATATTGCCTAAGGAAGATGTGAACACATCTATTCACACTCATGGTTTGTTTGGCTTAAAGAGTATCGAAAAACACGTTATTTATTTATTTTTTAAATCCCGGTTATTGAACCCAGGGGATCTTAACCATATGATCTTAATCACATCCCCAGCCCTTTGTATGTTTTATTCTAAGACAGGGTCTTACTAAATTGCTGAGGCTGGCTTTGAACTTGCAATCCTCCTGCCTCAGCCTCCTGAGYTGCTGCGACCGCAGCCATGTACCATCTCACTCGCAAAAAAATGTTAAAACTACTTCAGACATTTAAGAAATAAGAAAGTCCATGTAAAAAAAAAAATTCCTGACTTGGGCTTGTCCTTTTATTGTTGTGCACTCTGCATTTGCCTTAGTCACCAGGTTATATTGTGTCTGGATTGGCAATGTCCTTAAAGGCCATTTGGTCTAAAGGAATGGTTTTCTTTCTCTTGCAGCAAGGAAATTTGTCCCTGCGAGGTAAGCTGCATTCTTGTACAAAGCATTCTGTGAACCTTCTGAACAGTTTCCTCTCTTCATGTGGAAACAGTGGCTTATTACTGTTCTCACCTGTCCCACAGCAGCAGCCAAAGCCTTGAATCCCATGGAAGCCGCCAGGTGCCTCTGGACTCCATCTAAGCTCAAAGGAATCTGGTAAGACTTGCAAGTGGCATGTCATGAGGGAGCGCCTCCCTAGGCATTCTGCTCATCCTTGGGCCCCTTCCAGCCTGCATTGTCCTCAGGACCTCTCCATCTCTATGGCACTTAYTGGAGAGGTGTTTTGTTTCTTTGCAGGAGAGGGAAGAAACAGAGATCTGGCTTTCTTGAGCCATTTCCTTTATGAAAGATAATAATGATGGTGACAACTGACCCGTATGTGGCACTTACTGTGCCCTAGGAACTGTTCTAAGCTAGGAACTCCATGAGATAGGATGATTATTCTATTTCTCCTGACTTAGATGGAGCAGAGGAGGCAGAGAGAAGCTAAGTGACTTGCCTGAAGTCTCAAAACTCCTAAGTGGTATAGCAGGATTCAAGCACAGGCAGTCTGGTTCTAGAATCTGTGTTCTTAAACATCTGCTCTGCTTCGTGAGGATTTGGAAGGGTCAAGTAAAGTCCCTTGAAAATACTTAAAAAAGTATTATATTATTTTTGTTCAACTTTAGGTTTATGGAAAAATTGAAAAATCTTAGAGTTACCAGCACCTTGAACTAGCATGACTCATTTGATGCAATTGATGGATCAGTAGAGATGCATTATTATTAGTTAAAGTCCCCAGGTTACTTTAGTGTTCACTTGTTGTGCTTTCTGCAGGGTTTAACAGATACGTGATCACCTGTAGCCACCATTACTGTGCMGTAAAGRATAGTTTCCCTGTTCTAACTGAACAGCACTTGATGTTGCTATTTGGATGGYCCCAGCCAGAATGCACAGTCGCCTGTGCTGGGATGTGCATTTTGTTGTCACTTACAGTATGCATTATGCTGAAGTTTTCTGGTGACATGCATGTTTGCTTGCACTTGCAGGAACACTGCATCCCGGGAACTAGACTGAACCACTGAAGACAGCAGAGGTGTCCTGCCCCCTGGCCTTCCTGGCCCATTGTCCTATGCCTTGACAGCTGGGACCATGACTTCAGTGGATTAAGTTCAGAGCCAAGTGCAGTCTTCCACCAAAAAGACTCAATCTTCTCGTTCCTATTCTCAGGACAAAGAAATTGCTGGCTAGGCTATTAGAGGAGAGGGTCTTCTTCAAAGCAAGCGGAAGAAATCAAGAGTCTGGACTCAGAATTCCTTTCCTAACTCTCCGTTGGAAGCTCTGAATCTCAGTGGAGAAACAATGTTTCCTGGCTCTGTTTCTCTTGACCCTCACTGTGTTGCAACTGCTAGTTACAGAATTGCATTTWGAGGAGTACATTATAATTATCAATAGTTTACAGGAAATCAATTGTCCAGTGATATTTGGCTTCCAACTTGGGGGTGGAGGATACATGAAAAGATTTTTAATGCCCAGAGACAACTGCACAGGAGTCTGTTGGTGGTGCGAGGTGCAAATCCTACTTAGTACTCAGTGCCAGGATCACCAAGCATGGTCCTGATCTTGTCCCTGTGGGACTCAGGGCTTTTAAAGTGTTCTTAGAGGTAGTAGTCTTCCTATTTGCCTTGAATATAGTATGCTCCTCCTCAATTCTTAATTTAGAACAAGGTTTACAAGGGACTTTTGACATTGGTAGGTGTTGTTGATTATGATAGGGTAAATATTCCTGATCTAGGTTGCCACCTCCTTGTTTATTAACAAATTTAAATTTGCATTTGCTGTAGATTTATGTAAAACAAACATGCAAACAAGTATGATGTTCTGAGGTTTTATTGCAATTGTGTGGGACATGATGCTCTCAGGAGAGTGAAAGCTGAACACAGGGTTTGATTCTTGTTACCATAGTTTTACACAAATTATTGCTTTCCATGATGAAACTTCCATGAGGCCAAATTTTCTGATTTGATAAAAGCATCATAAATGTATGAGTTGTCAAGATCATTGTAAAGTCATGTGTAGCTAATAAAAAAAAAGCATCAACACAAACAAATGAAGGTACAATTTTGTGACTTTCTTTGYAAAAATACATGTAGACATATTGATGTGCTTTGCCCTCCTACAAAGGGGTTTGCCAAATGTCTGATGTAAATACAATTCTTTTGTATTATGTAAGATTTTAAATTCGTAGGAATTCACCATGTAAAGCACCAAGTGGATTTTTACAGTGAAAAGTGTAATGATTATTTTTAGTTGTTTTATTCTGTATATTAGTATTCCTGGAAGAGAGTGTTATGTTTCTAAGGAGAGTTTAAAATTCCTAAGGAACTTCCAGGTATCACTGACAATGAGACATTCCTGGTCAGTAAGTGCCAAAGCTGTCTACATCAAAGCTTTCCCACATTTCTTTTAACTTAGCATGTTGAAGAGGAACATTTCAAGTAAGTGCTACCTGAATGTTGGCAGTGGCAGAGCCAGCAGTAAACAGGAGGTGTGATAAAGATGAGAAAGCAGAGGTTTCTTAAGGGGCAGAAGGACTCAGGGAAGGGGGACTATCGTGATCAGATTACATATGGAAAGAGTTATTATTTTCTCTGAAATTGCTCAAATGTTGTAAATATTTACATATTCTGCATYAGAAATAACTGCATGAAATATAAATTTTAAATTATGACTTAGAGTAGTTTACAATTTTAATGTGTGTATTTATTTAAGGTTTTTCCAGGTTTATTATACTTGACATAGCAGTTAAAGTCTGACAATAAATATGTGCATATTTATCTCTGTATAGGCTCTTTCTTAAAACTTTAATTGCAGCTGGGTGCAGAGGTGCATGCCTATAATCCTAGAGGCTCAAGAAGCCAAGGCAGGAGGAGGAGGAAGAGGATCACAAGTTCAAAGCCAGCCTCAGCCATGTAGCAATATCCTATCTCAAAATACAAATAAAGACATAAAAGGGCTGGGTGTGTGGCTCAGTGGTTKAGTGCCCCCGGGGTCAATCCCTGGTATCAAAAAAGAAAAAAAAAATGCATCGAAATAAAATGTACAAATGAAATATGCCTTTTTAAATTTTGCAAGATCAAGCAATCAGCAGCACAATCTAACTCCAGAATATTCTATCACCCCCCAAAGAAACCTGTCCCCATTAGCAGTTTCTCCCCATTCTTCTCTTCCTCCTGTCCCTGACAACTACTAACCTGTTTTATGCACCTATGGATTTGCCTATTCTGGGAACTTCACATTAGCAGACTCACAGGTGACCCTCTRTCTGGCTTCTTCCACTTGGTGATGTCCCCAGGTCCCCCTGCTGCAGCACACATCGGCACCTCCTCTGTGTCCTGGCGGAATCACATTCCATTGCAAGCACATGGCACACTATGCTTCTCCACTTGTCAACCCATGTGCCTTGGGTGGTCTTCTCTTTCTGGCTCTGTGACTAATATAGTTGTGAATGTGCAGGAGCATGTGTTTAGGTAGGCTTCATATTACCCATTTTTTGGGCATATTCCTAGAAATGGAATTGGGTCATATGGTAACTATGTTTCATTTTTGAGGAAACACCAAACCCTTTCCCAAAGGGCCTGCATCATTTTACAGTCCCTCCAGTGATGTACAGTGAAAGACCCTAGCCCAGTTAGCCCAGTTACCTAAGGCCAAGATATGAAACCAAGATATCAGGCAGGCCATAAACAGGTTCAGGCGCCAGGCATGCTTTCCGGACAACCGGTTGAAGAACAGAGCACCCGCATCCTGAGGTATGAATGAATAAACCGGAACAGATAAGCAGGAACAGAAAGAATAGAATGCAGACCTGTGGTTTTTGGAATGCAGACCTGTACCCCCTAGGTGGCCTATATGCTAGATTTAAACAAACCAATAAGAAACCTGTTGCTTCCCGCCTCGCGAAACCTGTCCCAAACCCTATAAAAATCTCTGTATCCCCAAGCCCGGTGTGCCAGTTCACCAAAGCTCCGGCTGAGGTTCTACTGGGCACCCGCAGGCGCCTGTGTCCCAATAAACCACCTCGTGCTTTTGCAGCCAGTGTTTCGTGTGATTCTTCTTGGACAGGGAAACGGGGGTCTTTCATTAACGGGGTGCTTTTCAACAGGAGTTACAATTTCTCCACACTCTGAATAGCACTTGCTATTGTCTATCTCTTTGATTGTCACCATCCTAGTGTGTGAGGTGGTTTACACAGAGGCCCTTGCTTCAGAACTTTATAGTATATGAAAAAAAGAATCATATCCTAAAAAATTCATTATGGCCAGAGAAATAAAGCCCCTTTTCTGAARTCTTTGCCTGCTGCCAGTCTCAATTCTACATTGCTTATGGTAATCAGTCCATGCTCATTTAGACTTCAGACTTCATTATCTTTTAAGATTAGACCAAGAGTATTTTCTTTATTCCACCCAAAATATATATGTTCTCTCATCTGGAGCAGTGTTACTCCACAGGCCTGCTGTATACTGAGTTGAAAAACACCTGAAGGATCTCACTGTTATCAAAGAATCAGAATATCTGAAATCTCCAAGAATATAGGGTTTAATTCTTGACCTGGTCCCTCTGGCTAAAACACTTATGGCTGACTATAAGAGTATCACAGGAAAGAACTGTTTTCCCTTGAATTTTATATTTMTGTTAGCTTAGAAGTATTATTTAAGAGAAAAAGAAAAACAGAAATATGTTCTACTAATCAGGGCGCTGAGAAAACTGGAAATCCATATGCTGCATAATGAAATTAAACCCCTATCTCTCACCCTGCATGAAACTCAACTCAAAGTGGATCAAGGACTTAGGCACTAGAACAGAGACCCTGCACCTAATAGAAGAAAAAAGTAGGCCCAAATCTCCACCATGTTGGCTTAGGAACTGACTTCCTTAACAAGACTCCTAAAATGCAAGAAGTAAAATCAAGAAGCAATAAATAATATGGAATCAAACTAAAAAGCTTCTTCACAACAAAGGAAACAATCATGAACATGAAGAGAGAGCCTATAGAGTGGGAGAAAATCTTTACCACCTGCACCTCAGATAGGGCATTAATCTCCAGGATATCTCAAGAACTCAAAAAACTTAACACCCAAAACCCAAATAATCCAATCAATAAGTGAGCTAAGGAACTGAACAGATATTTTACAGAAGAAGAAATACAATTGGTCAACAAAATATAAACAAATGTTCAACATCTGTAACAATTAGAGGAATGCAAATTAAAACTACACTGAAATTTTTTCTCACTCCAGTCAGAATGGCAATTATCAAGAATACAAGTAAAAATAAATGTTGGTGAGGATGTGGGGAAAAAGGTTCACTTATACATGGCTGGTGGAACTGCAAATGGGTGCAACCAATTTGGAAAGCAGTATGGAGATTCCTTAGAAACTTGGAATGAAATCACCATTTGACCCAGTTCTCCCACTCCTCAGTTTCTACCTAAATGTGACACAGTCACATCAATGTTTATAGCAGCTTAATTCACAATAGCTAAACTATGGAACCAACCTAGGTGCCTTTCAACAGATGAATGGATAAAGAAAATGTGTTTTATATATATATATATATCTATATCTATCTATCTATCTATCTATATATATATATATATATACATATATATATAATGGAATATTACTCAGACTTAAAGAAGAATGAAATTATGGTATTTGCCAGTAAATGGATGGAGCTGGAGAATATTTTGCTGAGCAAAATAAACCAACCCAAAACAATCAAAGGCGGAATGTTTTCTCCCCTATGTGGATGCTAATTCACAATAAAGGGAGGGGGCTAGTGAAGAATAGAGGCACTTTGAATTAGACAGAGGGGAGTGAAGGGAGGAAAGGGGGCATGAGGGTAGGAAGGATGGTAGAATGAATTGGACATCATTACCCTAGGTGCATATATATCTACACAACTGGTGTAATTCTACATCATGTACAACCAGGAGAATGAGAAGTTATACTCCACTTATGATGCATCAAAATGCATTCTACTGTCATGTATAACTAGTTAAAACAACAACAACA